GAAAATGTTGGTAATTGAGAGCAGTTTTAACAAAAAAGGACAATCTCATAACAGGGTGTTAGCTATCCCATATACTGTCCGTTTGACGGACTCTTCCCAATTGAAGTAGCTAAGGGGCTTTCCCAACTGGGTTTACTGGAAGATTTTCATTTTTTCTGATGAGAAAGTTGATTTTATATTATATTATATTATATCAAAGAACGTTTTATTTACTTTTTCCCATTAACTATTTCCTCAAAATATATCGCGTTTCATTCATATTGGGTGTGTATTCACTGAAATGAAATGTACAAAACAAAGTGTAATCGGTGTGCATCGGTGTTCATTCACCGGAAATGAAATATACAAAACGAAGTGCCATCGGGTGCATTTTTCAGTGTTCATTCACCGCAAATGAAATGTACAAAACCAAGCTACCGTTGTTTGCATCTAAGGAGAAACACGTTGGAAAAAAACACTATTTATTCCTACACAAGGACTTTGATCGGTCAAAAAAACTTTCCCAATTTACGTTTAACGGACAAAACTTTTTTTTCTGGCTAACACCCTGCATAAACAGTAACACAATGACTATATAATTTTATACTGTAGTTTATCACACAATTGTACCCAATCCTAAGAATTACAAATATTCAAAACTTCTTCTTAGAATGATACAAATATTTCATCATATTCGGGGTCAGTGACACTTTAAAATGCAAGGAGAAGAAAGACTTTATTTCAGTGTTGTAACAAGTCGAGTCATTGACTATTTTCAGGAATTCCTCAAGTCCAATACAAAAAATGACTCGATTCAAGTCAACAGCCCCAAATGACTATAGACTCAGACTTGCTCATAAATAACTTGAACATAAATAACTCCGTAAATGACTTGTCAGTCAACTCAGCTATAATATGTACAGAATAAATTAATCAACATTATTTTGATTGTATTGCTTGGAAAGAACAACAATTAATGACCCTGATAACCAGTGCCGTAGGAAGCTCTTTTCGATTGGGGGAGGTTGAAAACAAGGGACAAAGGCCCAAGTCAAACGCCACAGGCGCGATACTTTATAGTCTGAGGGATTTTTAAATTTAGAAAATCTGAAAACCCATTTCCTGGACTTTGGGGAAGATTCGACAGAATTCTGATGGTCAGAAAACAGCGTTATATAGCCTGCATGATTTTGAATTGGTCTGCATGATTTTGAAAAAAGAATGATTGTTAGAAAATTCTTGGGGGGCTGCAGCACCCCTCTCTCTGAAAGCACCAGATGTGGTGAAACACGAAGTTCAAAACTTTATCAGAAAACTGCAGGGGATTTGCATGGAATCCCTGATGGACATGGCAAGTCCATTTTCTGTATTTAGAAACAACGCTAGTCCCACATACAGTTTTTAAAATAATTGTACTTACTAATTTGACCGACTCTTTTAATTTCTGGTATTTACGAAGTGCTATATCAACTTAAATTGACTTAAAGTCCATTCTTTGTCTAATCCAGACTCCAGTTGCAAGTTATGTTAGTTGTATTTCCGTTCGACCAACAGGCATGATGAGACATCTCACATGGCCATAATTAATATTGGCTAGAACTGTGAAGTTTAACCATTGACTTGACTTGACTCGAGTGGCAACCATTGACTCAACTCAATCAGAAAGTTAAATGACTCGACTCATATAACTCAACTCAGCTTGTGACTCGACCTGTAGGTGACTCGTTTATACAACATTACTGGTTTATATTAGAGGTGTGCAAATCCAATCCGAATATTAATTTCGGATTGGATCGGATTGATAAAGTTGTTTCATAGTCGGATTGGACTTCGATATTCGAAATAAAGTGAATTAATTATATTTTTAAAATTATTATATAAAGTACCAGTATAGTGCTTTATAGAGATTTCGAGCACTGATAATCTCACATGTGAGACTATTTATGATAATTTCACATGTGAAAATTATCGCTTTTCAATTACTGCTTTTCTGTGAAAATTATCGCTTTTCAAAGACTGTCCTTTATATAATAAACAGAAAAATACATTGGTGCTTGGAAATACCAGATTTATTAATAATTATTATTAGGTTTAATATTTAAAACCAAAAGTCGGATCAGATTTGGATTAGACAATTTCGTATATAAAGTATATATTGAACAGTTGCTATCTGTTTCATTTTGAATTTCATTTTATTTTATTTTACAGATTTTGCCATTTAACACAAACTATTACACAAAATTAGTTAACACAAACTATTACACACAATAGATTACATGGCTGGAATTACCACACAGAGATTAGTTCTCCAATAACGGGGTTCCAAGACATTCGAAATACACAGTATGAACAATAACAGGCTTGCAGACCGACAAACAAACAAACAGACAGACAGACGTGAAGATCAACAAACAAGCACAACGAATTACAATCAACGACTTACAATTTATGTGACAATAAATTTAACAACATGCTCGATTCGACAAGTTAGTCAATGGGCGAGTTGAATGACACTTCACACAAACAGACTTAAATGTTCTCGGATCCTCGGGTTTATAAATTTCCTTGGTGAGATACTTATAATGTTGCATTAAACAAAATTTGAAAGAGACCAAGGTTTTGTTGGTTTCTCTGATCAAACAGGGGAGTGTATTCCACACGTTGGCAACTCTGACGTAGAAGCTGTTTTGGTAGCTCACTGTCTTGCACTTGGCTACTTCAAGTAAGATACCATTGGTTGCATTAGTACTTCGTGTTTCTCGAGTAGGAATTTTGATAGAAATGTTACTGTCAGAGTTGGAAATGATGCACTTGTAGAGATACACTAGATCTAAATACTCGTGCCAGTAACATATAGGGATGATGCCGATGGTGGTCAGTCTTTCCTGGTATGATATATCGGTTTGGTACGGCAATGACAAAATAAATTTGGTGGCACGTCGCTGCACACGTTCAACAGTCAGGATGTTGTTTACCGTCTGGGGTGCCCATACCTGACTACCATAAGCCAGCTGACTACGAACCATAGTCAAATAAAGTACCTTACAAACTCTACGCTGGCGAATGTCGAACGCCGTTCGCTTTACGAAACCTAACATTTTATTTGCTTTGGTCGATATCTCTTGCACCTGTTTGTTCCATTTAAGGTCGTTAGTGGTAGTTATGCCAAGATCTTTCTGACTGGATGATTGTAGGACTGGAGTGTCTGATATTGTGTATATACTGTGTGATCATCGGTTGAGCAATTCTTGAGAAATGCATGACTACACACTTGGTTTGGTTTAAGTCCATCCTCCAGTCATTACACCAGTTGGCAACACTATCCAGATCTTGCTGCAGAATTATGGTGTCTTGGAAATTTCGAAGATGACGGTGACATTTTGTGTCATCAGCGAACATTGACACGGTAGTATCGTGCGAGGTAGACATAGGAAGGTCGTTCACGTAGATGAGGAAAAGGAGTGGTCCAAGGATTGATCCCTGAGGAACTCCAGAAAGCACTGGAAGTGGTTCAGATGTTACACCAAGAACAGTGACTCTCTGTAATCGCCCAGAAAGATAGTCCCCAAACCAGCGAAGAAGCTTTCCTCTGATGCCAAAATTGTGAAGCTTCACAAGTAAGAGATCATGGCTGACTTTGTCGAAAGCTTTCGCGAAATCAAGATAGATAGTGTCAACTTGGCCCATTTTCTCTAAGACATTATGAATCTCGTGAAGAACATAAAGCATCTGGGCAGTTGTAGACTTGCCGCTTTGAAAACCGTATTGAAGATCATAAAGTTGACTTGAGAGGTGGCCAATAATTCTATTGTAGATGCAACGTTCAAACACCTTGGAGACCAGCGACAAAAGTGATATTGGTCTATAGTTGCAGACTTCATGGAAAGGACTTTTCTTTGGAATTGGACTGATATTAGACAACTTTCACTCCAACGGCAGTTTTCCACAAGATAAACTCTTGTTGAAAAGTTCGCATAAAGATGGACTGATGTTAGCTGCGCAGGTTTTTAGCAATACCGCCGGGATTTTGTCAGGACCAGTGGCTTTGTCTACGTCGAGAGTTTTAAGTACACAACTTCTCCTTCAGCTAACTCGAGATCTGAGATGGTTATTAGATTAATCGAATCGTCGTCAGCAGGAAGAGGGCTGTGATGAGCGGCATCACATGGTTTAAACACAGAGTAGAAGTAGCGATTTAGCAGGTTAGCTAGGTTATTTCATGATTGTTTTCTGTATTCTTTGTGCATTACTTTTGCAGTTTGGACAAAGTTTGTGTATATTATATTTCCTATACATTACAATTTTTATGCAATGTCACCTGCCAGAATTTACCCCAACGCAGGGCTCATTCTGTAGTCTTCCATCAATGATTCACCTTATTTTACCTGAACTTTGTCAACCCCACTCCAGTTACCTTTGCAGCTGCAGTTCAGCTCTTGAAAAAGACATATCAGTATGTAAATAACATTTTAAAATAGTTCTAAGTTGGTCGAAAATTTAGTGCATAACCTACTCAACTGACTGTAAAATATATCGCTTCGAATATACGACATATATTAAATGGAGAAATCTATTTCAAGAACACGTAGTACGTATTTAATATATCGTGCAATTCGCATAAAAACCAGTTTGAGATATTTATCATATTTTCCGATTGAAATGACCGAATACAATATGTAAGCTTTCCTGAATATTTACATCGTTCAGACATAGTCTATACACAAGCCTTTTGTTCGATAAAACATTGGAATATAATCTAAAAAACTGACATTATATATATAAACAAACCTGCAAGTCGCGTTCGCTGTTGCAAAGAAAAATCACTCCTTCTGAACAGATCTGTAGCATTTTCAACCGTATCTAAAGTCTATATATAATATAGTACAACATACCTTTTAAAAAATGGTCTATTTCACGATTTTTTGTTGCCAAATTTGAAGAAAATCCCTTGTTTGTGTTTAGGTTGCGAAATTCGTTCGGCGCCTGAACTCACCAAAACCGGAAGTGACCGTGCTGTGCTGAGTTTGAATCACTGAGTGGTTTGAATCGTTCCAGAATGAGAAAAACAAAATTCAAAAAACTACGTCAATTTTTTTTCCGTTGCTACATCTGTGGAAAAAATGACCGTCAGGAAATTTACTGTAATGTTGTAAGATATAATTGTGCTGTATAATGTATATTTGTTTTTGTAGAGGTAAAAATATAGCCGCAACTGTCAATGATGTCATTCTTTGGGGAAAACCCTTTGGCGGGAACTACTTCATGTATGGCTATTGTTTTGTCTTCCGCAGACTAGTCACTAGATACCCTAGATACCGTTGTCCGTTTAATATATCAATTTAGTACAGTAAATAATAAAGAAAGCTGTTAGTTTTAAAATGAAAAATACAAATTATATAATTACTTTTTTTTACAGCGGTGCCTCATTTTAAAGTTCAGTTGTGGTTCAGGGGTGTATCCAGGGATGCCGGAACCACGGGTGCAGCGGGTGCAGTTGCACCCGTTGCCTTTTGTCTTCACAACTTTACGGGTGCACTACGGGTGCAACGGGTGCACAAAGTGCCCTTTTTGCGTGAAAAATTTTCATTAAAAATTGCATTTTTTGCGCAAAGGGCATTTTTGAAAAATTCAATCTATGTTATTTCCGGAAAAATGTTTTAATTTCCGGAAAAAATAACATTTTCCGGAAAAATTTTCGGTATGTCCGGAAAATTTTTTTCGTATTTAGGAAAAATTGTGGTATGTCCGGAAAATGGGGGGGGGGAGGTCGCCAAAAATAATTTTTAGATGCCCTTTCATTTTCATTAGTGCCCTTTTGTTAAGGAATATGCCCTCTTGTTAACCAATTGCACCCCTTGCCCTCAGCAACTTCCGGCATCCCTGGGTGTATCTGATGACTGATATTTATTACCCGCTTTATCAGAGCCGCTCATATGGAGCCGCTTTATTGCAAGCTTTTGCAAGCGACGTTTTTGCCACAGTGCCTTTTTGAAGGAAT